CATGACGTGCCTGCACACAGACTCGTGTGTCAACAGTTGGATGAGTCCCACTGAGGAGATCCTTGTGTTTAACTGCAGATGTTTTTATTGAAATGCATGATTTTAGATCAAATCAGAAGTTAGCCATGCAGATCTCAAAGCAGGATTTGGTCTGATCTGTTACTGTGTGCGTTGGTGTGTGCGTTATCTCCAAGGGAAATGGTGCCTTTTGGATGATTAATGATTTAAATGATATAGACAATATATCAGTTTGGTAAAAAGCAGAGATAGGATCATCAAGAAAGTTAAGCTCTTAATTGGAATGACGCCTCATATAAAGGAAGGTTAAATTTGAATGTTTGGAAGTGGAAATTGATCCTGCTGTGTGTGCGTGCGTGCGTGTGTGTGTGAACGTGTGTTTAATGAATCCATGTATTGACCAGTGGTGAGGGCACTGGGGGCAAAGTTCAAATCCCCATATTCATGAGCACTTTGCCCCTAATCCCTGTCAATAGTGGCAAAAATCAATCCCGCCCTCATCCCACTTCATAGCTGTCATTAGCTTTAAATTCATTTTTCCCTCACTCTCACACACCACGACACACACACACACACACAGGTGACAGTGAAAACGATGTTAACTTGGAGACGTACTGTGAGAGGTGAGAGAGTTGAGGCCTGTCAGCAGTCCAATCCTCCCCTCTGCTGTTTCTACACAACACTTCTCCCCATCATCACCTCATACTTTTTTTTTTTTTATCATGCCATCCACCGTTTATTGCCTTTATTTTTCTCTCGCTTTTATTTTTTAAAAATGAAATATATCAAATATAGGGAAACTTTATTATAAAGAGGGTGTTGCATGAATGTATGTTTACATGGGAAATTATGTAAAAATAAAAAAAGATGATTTATCAAAAAAAAGGAAAAAAAAAACACAACAACCTGCAAAGATAATTTAAGAACGTTGTTCGTAGAGATTCCTAGTTATAAAGGGCAGTGGACAGGGCTGCGTCTTTACAACCTGCCTTGTCAAATCTGACTTGATCCCAGCCAACCAACTGCTCAAACCCCATCAAACCCCAGTCCCATCTTCACCTTATTTACTCCCATAAACCCGCCATTTATACTCCCCAATAAATGGAAAAACACCCTCCATCCTCGGTGCACCTATAAAGGAGGCTTTATGACCTCTTGACCTCAGTTACTATGGTCCTGGATCCAAAGGAAAGTCCTGAGTCTGAAGGAAAAGTGTCAGGCGCACTCTGTTAACTTATCGGGGAACACCTCCCATTCTCGTCCCCCCTCTCATTTCATCCACCCTCACCCTTTTTCTCCAAAATTGCATTATTATTCTATGGTTTGAATGTGTGTTATGTTTTGAATATCTTGTTTGTGTGTACTTACAATAAGACATGTTTAAAATGCCTAAAGAGTGAAGCAGAATATAGGATTGAAATGAACTTGTACTCCATTCTGACCTCTTATTTTATTTTATTTTATTTTTCTTGTCTTTTTTTTTTTCTTTTCCTCTGTTGACATATGATGCTGTAATGTTGGCAAAAAAGAAAAATGTAAAATCCTGTATCATTTATGAAATATGTATAAAAGAGAAATGTAATTCAATTATCAATAAAATCCTTATCCAGTTTTTGGAGCCGGTGGTCCAGTAGCATTTTTTTTTTTTTTTTTTCCTCAAAGTGAAGACTTGGTGATTAATGGACATATTCCAGATATTTACAAGGACCAGCTTTTCAAGGTCTTGACCGCCTCCTCTCCTCTCCTTGGCCTCCAGCTCTGCCTGCACAGGACATCCTATGAGATAGACCAGTGGGGATAAACTGTGTGTATACAGTAGATACATGAAGCAACACATGGTTATGATGGTCTTTTGAAACTGCATATTAGTCTGAAAATTCCAAGTTTATAAAGCGACAATAGAAAAATAAAAGGCTATAATCATTTCCTTAAAATCTTATTAAGTATTTGGTCATAAAGTAAAGCATTGGACAAATTAAAATTTTGACCTAATGACGGCACTTAATGAAATTGCAATTCATCAACATCTGTTCCAAATTTCATAACACAGTAGTTGTTGAGACGTTTCACTAAATGCCTCATGGTGGCGCTAAAGGAAAAGTACAGAAATCACCAACAATGATTAGGCTTCAGCCTCTGGGAACAATGAAAGCTTAGTCCAATCCACTTAGTAGTCATTGAGATATGTCTGGACCAATAATACCACCCATATGTCACTCAGAAAAACGAACCTACCAGTATCCTTTAACCTGATGCTGTAACACTTTTCACAGCAGTGAAATTACCAAAACCAACGCGGTAAACACAGTAAATATAACTGGAAAGTTTAGTCAAAAGTCCAAACTCTGAAAACTCTCTTAAGATGAAATTTAGAAGAAAGTTGAACAAAAGAGAGAAGTGAGGAAACTATTAAAAATAAAGAATTACACATACTGTACAACTTCCCTCTACACAGCGTGGTTATGCAGAAGTGTAATAAAGTGCTGATTGAATCTGCCTGTGCCGTAGAGACTTGCAGCCAGGAGGCCTAACAGTGTCTTATTTCCAGGGGTAATCACAAAAGAAGAATGGCATGTTCCACCTCATTTATTCTAACAGCCTTGAGGATTAATGCTTCCATTGCTTCAATTACATATAAGCAATAAAAACTGCAAGCATGAGGTTAGTTTGGGCAGCTTCTAAATGAAAAGGGCCAAGCTTTAGACGTTTCCTGGCCTCTACTGGTGAGTAAGTAATGAGCTAAATGAGAACATAGTCACTCTACTGGCACAGTGTCGCTGAGGGGTCTCTGTCTGTTCTCAGGTAAATCCTAAGTGTGCAAACCCAGCCGTCGCCTCCAAGGGAAGGATGTTCCGACACGACACTGCTACAGATTAATCAGATTGGTTTAAAGCTGCTGGAGATTACATAATTGGTTGTATTTCATTGCCCTTTAAATCAGGAAGGGTGAGAGAAAGACTACATAGATATGTAAAAGTATCATAAACCCCAACCACACTGTTTCTCAGCATGTTTTGCTGGAATAGTTTGGGGTAGTTTACGGTCATGTGTGGGGAGATGGAGGGAGGAGGATGTGAGGACTGCTCAGGCTGAAACAATGGGAGGATGGTCGTCTTACTGGATTTAGGGAGAAGAAGGTCAGGGGATCAAGGTGAGAAAGAGACATGACAATATGACGTATACAGATAAGAGGTGCCTATTAAAGACGGACCTCTCCTAAAGATGAACCAGAAGAGCTACACAGATACACACCTTACACATACGCACTGAGCTAGGATTTATCTTTCATCCAACTGTGAAAAAACATATCATGATTTTTTTGGTGATCACAGGTCTGCTGCAGGAGATCCTTGGGGTTGCAGGTGAAGGTGAGTGTAACATTTCTCATGTTGTTTACACCCAAAACAAGCAGGTATCTCCTGCACTAAGATTCAGATTTGCATTACTGTTCAGCAATGAGTCTGTATCTTATCTGTGTTTATGGTGATTTTTTTGTTTGTTGTTGTTGTTGTACTTTAGATGAAAGGATAAAACAGCCATATTATTGATGAATTATGATGAATTGTGCAATTCTTGGGGACTATTTTGCCTTGCGGATTAATACACATTTGGTTGAGTATTTACGGCAGCAAGATAAGTAGCCTATGTGGGATTGAAAATAAACTGCAACGCCCATGTTCATCTTAATGAAGTAACATATCAGCCAGTGCAACGGTATGTCTCATTGATGTGTTTTAATGGTGTCTGGACAATCATGGGGGTCTGTGGCACAGAATTTTAAGATACCTATATTAGACTCTAGATAAACAGGAAGTACTTGTTTGTAGAATCAGTTCATTGTTGGTTCTGTTGTTTCCATAGGATTCATTAAAGATAAGAAAAGAATATCGCCAGCTTTATTCTTTAACATAAAATATTTATTAAGAGGAACAATAAGGTTGGACGTTGTTAAGTGTGGGTCTTCATCTTCATCTGTATAGATAACATGCAGGAGGCTGACTCGGGTCAGGTGCAGCTCCACGTTCCCTTAATGGCCATATTAAGTTATTTGAGCCCCATTTGGAAGATTTAACGCTTCCATTAACATACAACTGCATGAGTCAGCTCCGTCCTCTGCCCCCTCTGTGCTGCTCGAGCTGGAACACAGTCGGTCAGTGGTACGTCTCAGGCCCCATGCACAGGCCATGGATTGATCCTCCTCCTTTAACTGTAGCCGCAGGTTGTGACAAGATGGACGGTCCATTAGTGGATGGGGGGAGAAAATGATGTGTGTGGTGACATCATTTATGGACTACAAAATGAGTCCCTACTCACATTTTCATAGCTTCACAGAGCCAAAGTGGAGTCTTTTAATTTTTCTTACCATACCTTGGAGTGCATGGTTGTGTGTGTTGTGTGTAATCATGTCTACTTGTGATATCAGTTATGAGGAGAGGAATGGTTATTGTCAACCTTGGCCTCTATTAGATGTCACACAGAAAATTATTTTCATTCAAGATATGGACGGGAAAGCGTAAACATGGATATTTTTATGTAGAGCAATCCAGCTAAATGGAAAGACCGCTGCACTGGTCATAGTGGTGTTTACTGCTCCAGTAAGGTGTGGCGTGCTGGTTGTCCTCTGTCATGTTTCCTGGCTCTGACCTGTCACTGAAGATGCTTTACTGCTGAGCTGATCAACCTCCTGCTGTTTCTTCATCACTGCTGATGCTCAGTGATTAACACTTACTGTCACTCTCGCCCACTTTGCCCACTCCCATCATCCCTCATGTCTTCTTCCTTTCTATTTGTTTTACATCTACCTCTTAATTACACTGTTGAGAGGGCATGATGAGGGGAGAGACTATTGATTGTGTTGCTGCACTTTGTTTACTCTGCTCGTTCAGTTGTTCTCCTGATTCGGCACAACTGGCTGCAGTGAGAAGAAGAGTCGCCACTGACAGAACTCATTGGATAAAGGGCCTTTTGTGGATGGCTTGTTGACTTTTAGTTCAATTAAAATTGACTCTGTGTTACAGTTTATCTTGAAGCTTTGCTTCATGGTAGCACATTTGCTCCAGTGACCAGTATAGATACAATCCATTGAACTAGGTTAAAGATTTTGTGCGTGTTTATGGGCTGAGAAGACATTTGGACCTTTCACAAAGTAACAATTGGTATCACCTTGAATCAACATCACTGCTAAAGCGTCATACCACTAAAATTACATTTTCTCACATCTAGTGGTATCTTGACATGCAGATAATTTTGGTTGCAGAGATTTCTGATTTCTCTGACGAAGACCAATGGCAGAGAGGTCTGGATTATTACTATATTTAATAATTGGATTTCACCTCTATTATATTGATTGATTGACTGTGGAGGATGAAATCTGAAAACCTGGAATGATAAAAGAAAACCTGTCCACATGGCTGCATAGAGGATAGAGTAAGCATAGAGGAAGTCAGCTATAATTCATATGTTTTCTTCTGATACTTTGATTGCAGTTCCCCTTTATCAGTGATGGAGAAAGTATTGAAATCTTTTGCTTAAAAGTAAAGTAAAAGTACAGTCTTAATCTGAAAAGTAACTGATAGTTACTGACTTTGACTGCCCTCTCAGACCCTATTCAAAGTCTTGTTCATTTTATCATCCCACCCACATGCCTCAGCCCTGGACCCGTGCTCTGCCTACATCAGCCTGAATGAACCCTGGAGGAACACAGACTACCATGTCAACCAGACGTCTGGTGTGCCCCTGTGTGACAGCCACATGTCTGGAGAATGGTACCGCTTCACTGGCATGGCCGGGGATGCCATGCCAACCTTCTGCGTGTCTGAGAATCACTGTGGCACCCACGCTCCTATCTGGCTCAACGGCAGCCACCCTCAGCCCCATGAAGGCATCGTCAGCCTGCCTGTGTGTGCCAGCTTCAATGACAACTGCTGCCACTGGAACGCCAGCATAGATGTGAAGGCCTGCGCTGGGGGATACTTTGTCTACCGTCTGCCAAGACCCTCAGTCTGCTTCCATGTTTACTGTGGCCGTGAGTGAGCATGTCTGATATGTAAAAAGTCTATTTAAAAAAAAAAAAAATCCTATAACTGATTTACTTTTCATTTCCATCTCTGTTGTTGTGTTAATATGTTCACGTGCATGTACGTTGCACAGATTTCTATGATATCTGTGATGAGGTGGACTGCACAGGTCCCAGATGTCCTGAGTCTGACTGTCACTGTGGACCTGGAACTGTGCTGGGACCAGACGGACAAACATGCCTGGGTGAGACAGACACAGAGGGAGGAAGAGAGGGGACAGATAAGTCATGCGACAGACAAAGATAAGAAAGAGAATGTGGAAGCCGGATAGGCTGGAAATGGTTTCTGGAAAACAATAACAAGCCAACACAGTCAGACTGGATTTGTTTTGACAAATACAGTCATATTTCTGGAGACATGTTTTTATGCTATTCTTAGTCAAACATCCATTATTTACTTGACTTAGAGGGATATTCAAAATATGGTGCAAGACAACAAAAGCCAATAGAATGAAGCCGTTTGTTTCTTTCCTCAGAAATTTTAACAGTATTTTTTACCCCTCCTACCTATCCATAACTATTTTAATCATTTTCCCATTAATTTAACGTCTTTCCAAGGTACCTTACTAGTTTTCACACTAGTGAATCACAGCACTGTGTGGTGTTATAGCTGACTAAATATGTGGGTATTTATAGTTTTAAAATCAAATGATACATTCTATTCCATTATTTACTCCATAATCTTTACATGTACCCCTTACAACTGCAGAAACATTGCTCGAGCGCACCATGACTCTGTGACTGCTGCTCTGGCCATATGATCTCATTTCTATAACTATATTCTGAGTGCTGTTGACAGGAGGAAACACAATTGTGTCTTGTATTTGCTGACTTCACTCAAGGTGGATATGTGTGTGTGTGTGTGTGTGTGTGTGTGTGTGTGTGTGTGTGTGTGTGTGTGTGTGTGTGTGTGTGTGTGTGGTATACTGCATGGTACACCTAATGATGGGTGACAGGCATGCAGTAGGAACCTAGCCAGCTTGAAAACTGCCATTATCTCATTATTCACCCATCAACCAAATCTGCCTTTCCCTGTCTCAGAAATGACTTCCTCATTTCTCCATCCTCACTCCCTCTCTTTCCTCACTCTCTTGCACGCTCATTTTTGTCTCTCTTTTTATTTCATCCATCATCATTTCTTTACCAGTCCCTTCTATATTATAAACTTAGATTTAAAGTCCTTTAAAGTTGATTTATCGTCCTCTTCGGCGAAGCTCTAAGTGAATTGCCTCGAGGTAATAACTCCACCCTTCTGCTACTCAGTCGATTAAAACAAGACTCATCTGATTATAATGTCTGACCCAGGTGTGCTGTGTATCCCATGTTCAGATGTGAATGAGTGTGAGAAGGCCAACGGTGGCTGTGCAGAGGTGTGTGTTAACACCAAAGGCTCCAGGCGCTGTGAGTGTGGGCCGGGCCGCGTGCTGGATGAAGATGGGCACAACTGCAGAGGTATAGCTATATATATATATATATATATATATATATAATTACTATAATATGAACACAGTTCTGGAGTGTCTGTCCTGAGATAATGAAACCATGAAACCACATGGTGTTCTCCATCTTTTCCTTTTCTCTGTGTTGCCTCGTGCAGAGATAGCAGGCTGTCACGCTAACAATGGAGGCTGCAGCCATGGCTGCTCCTCGCTGCTGGACTCCTATCAGTGCCACTGCCCAAGAGGACTGGAACTGGGAGAGGATAAACGAACATGTCAGGGTGTGTATTTGTATGTGTGTATGTGTATGTGTGTGAGATAAGGGTAGATACTGAGGATAGATAATCAATCAGACAGCAAGGCAAGCTGACACTCAGGTGCATGCTTGCATTAATCTGAAAAGATGCTCTAGATAGAAGAGATTTGACCAAAATGCATTTCTTCAGACCATAAAGATCCTCAATCATATTAGCAGTAGATAACAGGACTGGCTAGTTCTTTCCTACAGACCTTTTGGCTGGGAAATGAGACAATACTGGTGAAAACAATGTGTTACTTTCAGTCCATTTACCAGTGCCAACAGTCAAAATTTCAAATATGTTCAGTGTACTGTCACATAAAACAAAAAAAGCAGAAAATATTCACAATTGAGAAGCTGGAACCAGTAGATATTTGGCATATTTGCTCGAAAAGCTGCTTTAATAATGAATTGATTATAAAAACTGGTGCTAGTCAGTTTTTATTTTGATCAACTGTTCAATGAAATGACAAATAATTTCAGCTCTTTTCAAATTGCAGTAATGGAAAACAGAGAAAAGCAGCAAAGCACCAAATGCCAGAGGCTGGAACTGATAAACCTAGTACCTCGAAAAAAAGGACAATATTGACAAACTCAAATTCTTACATTATTTAGCCAAGTGTCAGGCTGATGAACAGATGATGTTTTTTTAAAAAAAATTCATATTGTGTTCAAGAATATTACCCACTCTTTCTTTACTGCCTCTCCATCTTGCTTTTACTGTTATTTTCCACATGCCCAGCCTCCATACAGATTGTGTGGTAAATTTATATCTAATCACACAGCTGTGGGATGCTTTTATGCTGTTATGCTGTTTCTATACTGTTTAGAGCCATTTTTCTTTCCTGCAGTGCCAGTCCAGTGTGACTCCAGCTCTATTACAGTGTCAGTTCCTAAGGACCTTGTAGGAGGACTGGAGCTCTTCCTGTCCAACTCGTCTTGTCGAGGCGTCTCCAATGGCACACACATCAACCTCAACTTCAGCCTCAAAACCTGCGGCACAGTGGTGGAGGTCAGAGTTACTGAGTTGAAAATTTTAGACTGAATGTGCACAGGGTTTAATCTCTGCGATGAGGGATTGGGGAAATTACTATATTAAAGTTGTGTGAGGTTGTCACTGAAAAAGCTATTAAAATAAAGTAAATGTTGACCCTCAGGTAACAGATGACAAGATTGTGGGAACCAACCTGGTGACAGGCCTCCCCAGGAGCAGCCCAGGTAGCAGCAGAGACTTGATAGTCCGCACCAGCAAGTTAGTGCTCCCAGTCACCTGTGAGTTCCCCAGGGAATACCACGTGTCAGACGGATACCAGGCGAGTCTGCGCAGCTCAGCCCTGGAGCTGGCGGGCCACAGTGAGGGAGTCTTCCCCTTCTTCCTGGAGCTCTTCAAGAACGCAGAGTTCTCAGAGCCCTACCGCACCCCGCCCCAGCTCCGCCTGCAGGACTCCCTGTTCTTCGGGGTGGAGCCCAAGGAGAGAGTGGAGGGCCTCTCTGCACTGGTGGAGAGCTGCTTCGCCACACCAGGCCCCAAAGCTGACCAGGCCCTCAAGTATTACCTCATCAAAGACGGGTGAATAGTTTGGAGGTTTTATCAGTTTTAAAGCCACATCTTGTGCTACTTGACACACCACACTTGAACCAGAGAACAGAACACACTTTTTAAATGAATAGGTTTCTGTTTCTTTCTTCTATTGGCAAATGATGTGATACAAAAGAAACTAAAGCTACGCTCAGTTCATCTACTACAGATTTGTTTAGTAAATAGATTTCATGCACTGTGGTTGACCAAAAAGAAAAAAAAAATGCTAGTATGCTAGTCATGCAAATAGATTTAGTTTTATTTGGCCCGGTTTTAAAATACCTGTCTCTGGTATTTCTGGTAGTAATGGTACAATGATAGTAACAGGAATTTAGTTTGGGACTCACAGCGCTGTCATTTTCATTGAAGAATAAAATCACTAGTAATGTGTTTATACTGTTAGTCTATTCACAGTACACACTGTCATCAGTTTTCACAGTGACATTTTTCTTTTTATTGGAAGTTGTTTCGATAAAAGTCCTTAACAGTGAAGTCGTACTACAAATACAAATATGATACGGGGAAACTATTTCTGGAGACAGGTGGTTAATACATTTTTCAAATATAATTTTTTACATAATATTTTATAACCCGAGCAAATAAAAACAAAATTGCGTGGTACTGTACCACCATAAGTGAGAAGGAAACTGCTTTTTTGTAATTTGGGTGAACTTACCCTTTAAAGAGCCTTGTTCATGCACTAAAAACTGCTGAATTCTGTCCTTTTAATATTTTATCATTTATACCAGAGCTGCATTTAGTCCAGCAACAGTAAGAGTTCTTATAATAAATGTTAGCTGGATCAGACCCAGCTGCTGTGTTTCCACGGCATCAGCTGCTTGACAGTTATAGGACAGGAAATCTCCAGTCCTTCAAGGAAATGTCAAATGAAAAATGCCACTGGCCTCGCGCTCTGATTAATGTGGAAAGAAAACAAGAATGTTTTAGGTCAAAAAATCGAAACACAGAACAGCCTTATTTTCTGGGGAACACTCCCTTTTGGCAAACCATTTCTTCACTGAATCCAGAGTAAGAGTCCTTGTTGCTGCTCTGTGGACACCAACAGAGCAGGGGCTATAATCTATTTTCACGATTTCCTATTAAAAATACAGCGGCGTTTCCGGGCCTTGGGGCAGCTAAACTTGACGAATTAGCTTGTTAGAAATAGATATGGATCACCGAATACTGTGTCAAGATATCGCCTGCACTTATGACTCTATTTCCCCTGTTTCACTTCCTATTCAGGTGCATCTCTGACGAAGCAGTGACACAGTACTCATCGAAGGACCAGCTCTCGAAGCACTACCAGGTCCCTGTGTTCAAGTTCATTGGCAAGGACAATCAAGTGAGTAAAAGAAGCATGCTGGGAGCCAGCTGGTGAGTGTGTGTGTGTGTGTGTAGCACTATAATGTAAAGACTGTATTCATGTGAATTAGCAGTGTCCTATGATGTTGATCTTCTCTATCTCTGCTTAAAATAGTTTTGTTTCCTCTGTTTACAGCAAGTGTTCCTCCACTGCCAGGTGTTAGTATGCGGGGCAGGAGACTCCCGCTGTGCTCAGCGTTGTCGAGGGCGTGTGCGACGCGAGGCTCGGACGAGTGAACCTCAGGAGCAGCACATAATAAGTGGAGGCCCCATCTTCATCCTGCCTTAGTTATGATGCTAAGAGCCAGAAAAAAAAAACCCCACTGAGAATAGGCCAGCAGCACAAGCCAGGATCACATTTACATTTTTCTTTATTTGGTATTTAAAATAGCAAACAAATGCAGGTATACACACACGGAGTAGTACATTGCGCTGTCCCACATATACACATATACATGCAGTTGCAGAGTAAACACACTCCTCTTTTTGCCAGTGCCAGTGTCTCTCGCTTTGCTGTAGATCAGTTGAATTCTGGTTAATGGATCCAAGTCTGTGCCACTTTGCCTGGCAGCACAATTTACTGACATTAAAGTGAATGACATTTCTATTAGAAATCATTCAGTGGGGCCACAGTTCATTTGTAACAACTACAGTATGAAGGATGTTTTTCTAGGTCACACTTTGAGGCATTTCTCAGGCTTGATTACAGCTTAAAGATTTAGTGGATTTATAAAAGTGGTTTATATTTCACACCATCACTGACTTGAAAAATACATGTGCAACATCCATAAATGTATTCTGACTCATTTGCTCAGTATAATCAATGGCTGTGGAACATGTCACACACTACAGTGTGGTGGGAAAGAGATATCAGTGCGCTGTGCCCGGAAATTATGCACTCGCTTCATCACTCTGACAATTAAACTAGAATTAATCATGTCAGTTAAACTGCAATTAGTCATGCATTTATTCATAAAAAAAACAAATAACTTACATCAAACGTTAACATAGTAGATATAATAGGCATTACATTTTACAATACACTGGCTTAAGGTTTGAACAGACTAGTTTGATAAATGTTAAATACCAGAACACAATGAACCGTGTGCGCAACAATGATTATCTTGTGTCTTTGTATCTAGAGAAAATTAATCCAACTACAATATCCTTCCCATCAGGCACTTTGTTTGGAGTCATAAAAATAATTTATGGTAATGGAGTTACAGAGGCCTAGAAATGGCCTAAAAATGAAATGAACTATGGAGAGTATAACATGCATGAGCAAGATTCTGCAAGACTCTGAAAGTCATATTCAGATATTGAATATTTGTTAGTAATGCCAACGAATAAAAAAGCTAAGAAACTGTTCATTTGCGTTCCCCATTTATGTCCCAGGCTCTGAATCTTGAGAGCGCTCTTGTGACGTATTTCCTCTTCGACAAAAAAGCCTATAAATATACAGTGTAATCTGTGAAAATACCCATGACCCTGTTATTTGTGTGTGAAAGTGTCCAGGAGTTGTCCAGTGTGCTCTGTGTCACAGCTCATCCCTCTCCTCTCCCTCGCAGACGCACGCTGCCCTCTGGCTGTTCATGTAAGGCCTGCATCCCAGAGTCCACACTGTGTTGTAGAGAGCGTCTGCCATCGACTCACAGGCTAAGAAGAGAAGACAGAGAGAGAGAGAGGAGGGAGGCAGAGCTACTTATCATTAATTCTTTTTGATAACTCACAAGTATGTGAGATGTTCCTGCTGGTGGACGTATTCATGCCACCCTATATATTTCAGTACACAGCCAAGAAAAGGGGAAAAGTAACTTTTCGCAAATATCTCACCTTGTACCTTTGACCCAAAGCCCAGGCTCTTCTTGAAGTCAGAGCAGATGTCATGCAGACAGGAGCGAAAGTTGGAGTCACAGTCGTACTTGCTTGTGCCGCAAGTGTCATAGCACACGTCAAGCTGGTTGCAGCACTCTGTCATCGCAGGGATCCCCAGGTCCATCTGTCAAAAAAAAAAGAGAACTGTGTTGTGTCAGTGCAGTTTATACTTATACAGACAATACTGCTATCGTTGTGGTTAGCGTCATTATATGGAGCTTAGGGATGAACAGTAGTTCTGGGCTGTTGGTGCTATGAACAGGCCACCTACAGCGGCATTCACCTGGAATCCCACCAGAGAGGAGCTGCAGCCGTTGGGCTCAGGGAGCTGGTAGCCCGGACGAGGCTGAGGAGCTTCTCCTGAGAAAACAAAAAAAAAACGTTCTATTTAATTCTTGAACCAACATGGAGGTACATTATCAAAGTGATGTCATCATGTGCTCCCAGTCAAGGATTCATATCTCTTGTTCTTGCGTGTATCATGTCACAGATAACATGTAACATCTGTTCTGATTGTGTAACTGTAGGTACAGCACATCTACCTCCCAGACTGATAAACAGATTGTATTCAGGTTTCAGTATCAGCAGCCTTAGGGCCATGTGCGTAATCTCAGATCAAGACATAAGTGCCTGATAAAGTGACAGCAGTAGAATTTATTGAATTTGAGAGTTAAAGTGTGCCTAGCAAACAAACACATAGTAACAGAAGGAATATTGGATGTGAACAGCATAATAATGATTTGAAAACACCCCTACAACAACTCGATCTAGCTGTGTGTGGGCCATTCCCACCTCCTGGACACCAAAGATTTGATGTTCTCAGTAACTTAACAGTAAGTTAATTCAAGAGATTCACTCTTACCATATCTGCAGCGGTACTGACACACACCATCGCGACCCCCCACCAGCTCCACCAGGGAGTCAAAGTATCCGTGCATAGTCTGGAAACTATTTCTAATTGAGTTAAGGCTCCAACTGTTATTATCTTCATTAGCCAAGGGTTTGTCCAGGGACTGGGTTGTCTCAACTGGTCTGATCTCATTCCCCTCTTCCTCCTCCTCAGAAGAAGAAAGTCGCTTCTGGGTGACAGCCTCTTCAGCAAGGGCTTCCATAGCAGGGATGTCACTGGCAGGCCTATCACTGTCTGTCCCTGGCTCTTCAGCCGTAGCACCATCGGCCACAAGGACATCCACTTCATGTTTGTCAGCTGCTGGGTTATCCACTGCAAGTATTTTAGCTAATACTTTGTCACCAAAAAGGGTATTAGCCACAGGCTCCTCAGCTGCAGGTGAATCACCTACATGGTCACCTTTAGCTGCATCTACGGCGACAGCTGCAACAACACCATCAGTAAGAGCAGCTGAGTTCACAGCATGGGCCTCCTCCTCCTCCTCCGTTGCTTGAGCCTGGTAGTGGCCTAAAGTGGCACACATGCCCGAGGACACATAGAGGAGGAGCAGGACCACTGTCCGAAGCAGCATGGTGTTGAACTGGCGACAATCCAAGCAGAGGAAGCTCTCCACAAGGCGAGGTGTTGTTAACAGGGTGAGAAGGGCTTAGACAGTGAGGGACAAAAACATACTGTGTTCCTACTGGCTCTGTCAGCCAGAAAGCAGACTTTGACCTCTGATTAAGTTCTAGCAGACAGCAAGGCACTCTCTCATGATGGGGGCAAAAGTCACCCTCATATCAATCCAAAGAAATCAAATTTAATTCCTCTAATCTTCTTATTCTCTGTGATTCTTGAGCACATTAAATGAGTCATTTCAATACAGTTTTATCTACAAAGCTATAATCGGATTTTTATGACTCAAAAGTCACATGTAACTTGAGCCTAGAGGAAAACCCTCTTCCTATTCACTTTAACACTCACCACATCGAATGCTGACATTTCAGCCTGTGACCTTTATCAAGATATCACAAACTTCAAACGATCTTCACTGTGTTTTGATAAAGGTCACACATTGGCACTTCAGCGCTGAACAAGTAGAGACAAACGAAGCATTATCCTATTCATTTGGCATGAGGTTGTTTTCAAAGTAAGTTCTAGTGCAGCCTTCAGTATGTACCACACAGAGCACTTATCTCATATGGGTCTGCTGCCCTCTTGTGGTTGAGCAGTAATGTGCTTCCAATGCTGTGGAAATTGATTTTTTTTTAGTGATCCTGACCAACAACTGAGGTCTGTTTACTCCTACTTGTGAATCATGTTATGGGATTTCAGGTTTTTTTTTTTTTAATCCTATGCCATAATCATTACACACAAATGAATACTGACTGCTATACAGGACACAACGTCCTGTAGCTATAAATGAGAGAAGGGCTTGTTATCCTCCTGATCTTCTTCATATTAACAAATACTAATTGGACTGCCCTGGGCCACTAAAACAACATATGTGAAGTGTCAAATTCACTGCTGTTCTTTAGCTGCAGGGGGACTGGAAACTGTGAAATCTGACATCTTCTAATATGAAACACCACATATGCATGTGATCACTGTGCCTGAAGCACTTTCATAATTTAAGGCCTGAGAATGTTGATGGTTATGCAACAAAAGTAAATGGAAATGTTCACTGCTAACAGCAGAACAAACTAACTAAAAGAAATTACTCACAGCTGTGTTTAAGTTCAGTTTTGAGGTATATGTTCTAGTTGTAAGTGAATATTTTCATCAGAGGCAAACTTTTTACTCCCGAGTTTTAATTTGACAGCTATGGTACTAGTAATTTAATACTAGTATAATAATAGGCCACAAAACACACGATCATCTTTTAAACTAGAATACATTGCTGCAGATTAAACTATCGTACCGTATATAAAGTAGGTAATATTAACTTCACATCAACTGACTACAACATCAAAATGCAGCTAAAATGCTGCATCAGTAACAACTGTTTGAATGCAGGACTTGTAATGGACTATTTTTACATTGTGCTACTGATGTTGGCGGTGATTTTAACATATGATCTACACTGTTACCTCTGTTAAAGAGACCTTCTCTATACTAAACATAAGGGCTATGACTAGGACATGGTAATCTCACAATTAAGTTGTTGCTGTTTGTCAAAGATGTGACTCTTTTAAATACTTGTCCTTTCATTTTATTGCACATTATCTAGCACATACTGTTTGACTTTGAAACAGCCATCTCGAGTAATGAGTCTCTGGTTTACTCGTTGAAGGAGCTATTCACTCTCTGTCTGCAGATCGCACCGTATTTCCTCCCACAATGTCCTAGTGGTAAAAACAGAGGAGAGCAGCAGTAAGTGAGAAAGAGTCACTTGGTTTCTATAAACTATAGCAAAGTCCTCTGATCAGTTGTGAAATACTACAAGTGCAATATTACATGTACCGTCTTATGGTCTTGTTCAATTTCTCTCTGTTCAGCACTATGTTGATTTTGTTTTCCAGATTCTTCAGGGAAAAGATATAGAGTACAAAACATGACCCTCTGTCACGTAGCAGGACAAGCATTTAAAATCTGTAATACTTTCACAAAAATGATGGTATGGCAGGAAAAAGGTCAAACTCCCTTGCCTTGTTGGTGGTCTTCAGACGCTCATTTAAGGCTATCAGTCTCACTGTCTCTGTCTGGAAGCAAACAGAAAAACAAGTTAAATAAAAACTGCAGCCATATGCAGTTTAAGCTACCACCAATCACACATCCTGCTTTAACTTTATTTCTGAAAGAGAACAAAGGCTCAGTGTGATGTAAATGTCACGCTGTGCTGTTCATAAACTTGTGTGGAATGGGGCAAAAAATATGGGAGGATAAGCAGTTCATCCCCCAGCACCGTCAGGTCTTTAATGCGTCTTTCAGTGGTGGTGGTCGTAACAGTGGACACCAGCTTCTCCTTAATCTCTTCTTCTAACTGTTGGATCTCCCTCCACATGTTCAACACCTGAAGCCTCTTGAATTGGACACTGTCGGTGTGGCCGATGGCAGTCCCGCTGTCCTGCAGCCCTGACAGAGATACATCTGTTCAAACAGGAGACGGGAGACAAGGAGACGAGCATGAATGCACTGTAGTGACTAATGATGTATCTGAAGATCCAAGAAAAGGTGAGTCGGGGGCAACTGGACTTGGTTGTAGATACATGAAGACGTTTCACCTCTTATCCAAGAGGCTTCTTCTGTTCTGTACTTGTACATTCACACCCCTGGAGGCATCATAAAGTCACAGCTGACTCACCGATACTACAAAACTCTCTTTATGCCTGTTGGCATGACAAAGTGATTATTTGTTCAGTCTGTCCACAGACTGAACAAATGTGCTGTTGCCCTGCAGGATAGTACAGCAAATGCTTAGATGTGGTTTACCAATGATCAGATATACCAATGTAGTCTTGAGACTTACTCTTCATGTCACTGTCCTCTGGGCCTGTGATAGCTGGAACATTCTGTAATTCATTTTGGACTCTAAGGTTAAAAAAGAACAAATAATGCTTAATAAGAACACAATGTATAATTATATAATTTTTTGGGGAGACAGATGCTTGCAGTACCGTTTATTCTCCTTTAGAGCTCTTCTGGCCTCCTGCTCCAGCCTGCAAACCTCTTCTTCAGCATCTTCCACCTCCTTTTCCCTTAGTTTGCCAATGCTGAGATCTTCAAGGGAAGTATTCTGTGACTGTAACACAACAACAACAACAACAACAACAACATATTAACACTTTTATTGTTTCCCACATATGCAAAACATGCAAAAGAGGAACTCTTGAAAAGACATTATTACTATCCATCCTGAGTTCAGTTCCTAAAATTTCCATGAGAATGAATGACAGGCCCTGTGATAAGTGTTACCTTTAATCCAATGATGTCATGACTAATATTATCCTTTTAGAAGATACTATTTGCTGTCTTTCATAATCAGCCATTACGCTGTGCTTGCAGTCAGTCAGCTGACACATACAGAAAGGAATCAATGTCTCTGACAGCAATTGAGGCCAGAAAGTCACATCCATGTCTCAGGTCTTCTTCTGCTCATTATTATCTAAATCCATATTGATTACATTACATGCCGTTTGCTTTACCATGTCAGGTAGAGGTGACTGGGAAGCCATCATGTGGTTGACGTACAAATCATACTCAGTCTGGAAGACACAAAAGACATTTATCACCAACACGACTGCAGGGTACAGATGTTGTGAATAAAGTGTTAACAGATAATACAGTTTTTCCATGTTGCTATAATATTTTAGCAATAAAAATATTAAAATTATTAAATTAAATGTACATTGTATGTTTGTGTCCTCATAAAAAATAATCAAAAGTGCTAATTTATAATAGCAAGATTCTGGCTGCATGATAATGTGAACCTCACAGTCTACTCATAACAGCAAACTGTTTCATTTAATTTCAGTTTTGTTCATATGCAAAGTGCACAAACAAAACTTGCATGACCCTAAGATATTTCTTATGAATGAGCAGTAATGGAACCATTGCCCTCTGATGACCTGCTTCCTGACGTATCATGACCAGGGTCCAGTGGTTGCTCTACTTCCGCTTGCTACACGAGGGATTCACTCTCTCTTGGCTCTAATACGTCTGACGGCACATGCTAAAAATGTGCTAGTGGGTACAGAGGAAATGGAAAAACCTTAATTTCCCTCAGGATGCGTCCAAATACTGGCGAGCTTTCACATACATCATCAAAGACGTCACTGAACACCGCAAGGCGGTCTCTGCTGGGCCAGTTCTGCACTGACAGCTTCTTCAGCTCCTGGATGTGACAGGAACACACACACAGTGTTAGCAAGTGAAGATGTGCGTAAGAGTCTGTGCGTGTCTTTATTCATGCACCTTCTGCAAGAGTGTTGAGAAGGCATTTCAGAATTACCATCTTTGAAGAAATTGACATTTTAGTAAGTCTGAAAATTAAAAAAAAAAGGTGCAATTATAAAACTAGTTGTGTGATGTCATGGTTTATGTGACCAGCCTCACCTTTTCTAGTTTCCTCTCATGCTTTTCAGCAACATTTATTCTCGCCCAGAGGTTGTGCTTGGCTGTGAACTGCCTACCTAACCACTGATTTGTCTTTAGCTGGTCTTCATTATTCAGTCTTTTCTGGGCAGAATGGCTTGAGCAAAATTGCTGTTTCCCCTCCGCATCAGATGAAAGGTTAACTTTCTTCTGGGAAAAAGCTCTCGGCTGGAAAGGCAAAGAGTTTGATGAACAATGAACTATCTTAGGTAAACTTATAACACCACTTCTGTCTGCATGTGGTGAGTGATCAGTAGCCTGGTCTTGTCTTGACTCAGAGACTTCAGACGCTTCTAAAGCAGCACTGGCGGTGAGCTCAGAGGGAGACTCTTTCATTGCTTTCTTCTTTACATAGGTCAGTGCCTTTGTTTGTCTCTGCTGGAGTGTCAGAGGGTTTGGGGTTTCTTCTTGGCTCTGAGACATTTTCCAGAAAGACTGCTTTGTGTCCATCTTAGGCTGACCCTGATCCAGACTGTGGGGCCCCAGATGACCTGAGGAGTAGGTCAGGATATCAGCCTTCTGACCAGCTTCAGCAGCCAGAAGCAGTCTGCGGATGTCGCTCCCAAAGCACCCAGGGTTTTGCTTACCGCTGCTGGACATGGCTACAAGGGCGCAAAACATATTATTATGAAATTTGTTAAAAGACACACGAGTGATACTGTCAAATGATACTCAGCTCACCTCAAGTACAAGACATTTCCTATATTAGACCATGCACCAGACCTGAGGTGTTACCATTACATAAAATATTACATTTCTATGAACTGCATTTACTGATATATAGCTTTTATCCAAAACAATTACATGACATGGTGGGTAAGAATGAAATGATGGATATGAATTGTCTTTCCTAACAATAAAAATTTGTAAAAAAAAAACAAACAAACAAAAAACCCCAAAAAACTACTACTACTATTTTTAACTTATTATAGTAAGGATAAAAAGTCATTTTATTATAAAGCATAAAAAGTCATAGTATAGTATGGTATAAATATCATAGTATAATAAGGCATAAATACCATAGGATAGTAAGGCATAAAAACATCATAGTATAGTAAGGCATAAAACATCATAGTGTAATAAGGCATAGAAAAGGTCATAGTATAGTAAGGCATAAAAGCCATAGTTTACTAAGGCATAAAAAAAGTAATGGTTTAGTAAGGCATAAAAAATCACAGCATAGTATGTCAAAAAAACGCCATAGTATAGCAAGGCATAAAAAGGGCATAGTATAGTAAGGCATTTGTGTAACTGTGTACGGTGTCCTTGAGTGCCAAGAAAGGCGCCTTTAAATAAAATGTATTATTATTATTATTATTAAAAATGCCATAGTATATTAAAGCATAAAAGTCACCGTATAGTAACTAAAGTATACTAAGGCATTAAAATGTTAAAAAAAAAAAAAGAAAAAGAAAAAAGAAAATAGTACAGTGAGGCATAAAAACCTCATATATATTAATTCATATTTGTGAATCCAATGCTCAAACCAAATTAGGAGGGCTTCCACAATCGTGACGCATTAAGCCAAGTGCTTAGGATATTTTCTTTTACGTAACTTAAATATTTTGTTAATACGCACCTGAAGCACGTGAACAAAGAAGACACACAGAAACTCAAAATAATAACCTCACCTGTTTGGTAATTGTACTTTAGTGCGGAATAATGACAGAAAACAAACTTTTTTCATGTCCACAACAGTCTTGGTTGCTAGGAGACTGAAACGCGTAATGCTTGCGTTGCGTTCAGTGTCTTGTTAATAATCGTACCCATGAGATTTCAGGTGCAAGATCTCATTTGTACCTCTCATTTGGAGGTAAATAAGTGGTGTTAAAAATATGTTGCATGCAGACGTGATAGCCTACATTGTGCTGCGCAGGTTTAAGAAAGCAGGTTTACAGAAAGGCATGCCTTGAAAAAAATCAGGGATTGGCTTGTTAATCTCCCAGCTAACTCACATGTAAAACAGTTGTGGGGAATTCATAAAATGATTTAAATGATGAAAGTACATTTTTATGTGGCTTAATTAATTGAAAGATTGAATGATTCAGTCCTTGTTTCAGAGTTTATTTTGAAATCCAAATTTTAGTCGTGTGTTGTATCACTAACTGATAAACTACTGGTTTCATTTCACTGTTTTACTTCCTTTTTCTTGGAAACTGAATGCCAAATCCCAGTTCATTTGAGCCTACCCCCTCCACTGTATTTTGCTGCCCTATGTTGATCATTATGCATTGAGGGACAAAAAAAAAAATGGAGCTGATCTCAACTACTTGGAGAATAAAACACTGAATCACTCACCAGGGTTGATCATTATTATCGCCGCTTCTTAATTCTTCTTTCTCTTGGACTACCAGTCAGCAAGTCAGCAAACTCATCATTGTTTCTGTTGATGATGTCAATGTCATCTGAGTTCATCTGATCAGGGTAACTCCAGCTTTTGTTTGCTTAAACCTTAAAAAGGTTTAAGCTCATTATCAAAATTGTCATGTTATACAATGAACCCATCTAGATATTTGCCAGTCATTTGACTTTACTGGGCATGGGATCCAGAAACAACACAATGTGACAGGGTTGAAAAATGGTTTCTAACACTGCAAATGTGCTCTATAAATTTTTTAACATGGAAAACAATAGACTCCAGCAAATACCGCTTGTTTCCCCATGTTTTCTCAGTTTGTGATACTCAAATGTTTCCTTCAGTCTACCACAAATCCTTGCACACAGTAACCAAATTACCAGATAAACCGTGTAAACATTGGTTGTTGGGGGAATCTGGTTACTGCAAAAACTCCTGTAAATGCTTCAATCAAACTATTATCTTAATCTGGTTAGTCAGAATAATTGGGTTATTGTGTGCAAGTAAACAGTGAGTGTAGCCTATACTGCAAAAGAGAGGGAAGGGGAGAAGGGGAGTGAAACTCAGGCCTCAGGGCTGGAATGGCCAGAATAGGAAAGCACCCAGATGGCAAAGCTGAGCATGAGGGAAGCTACAGTGTAACATGTTATGCTTCATTGAAACAAGTTTTCAGTATTCAGTATTCAGTCTGCATCCATTTGCATTCTTGTGTTGTCCATTAACATTTAAGGTAATGTTAAAAAATAGGAATGCAGTGGAGGATGCTTGAAAATCTGAAGTGTTTACTTGCCAGCTGAGCTTGTATTGCTGATGACAACAACATTTCCAGTTTTAGATTTCAAAAAAGACAAGTCGTAGATTACTCATTGTCTCTCTCTCTGTATTCATGACCACTATATATCAAAAATGCATAATTGTAATGAAAAAAAAAAACTCAAATTAGGGAACCCTGAGCAAAGAAAATAGAAAAAAAAGAAACACAATGTGATGTGTCATCCTTCATCCCCTTTTTACTCCTTTCAAATGAGTTTAAATTTTAAAAAACCTCAGTGTCGGTTGCCAGCTGTTTAGCACTGTAGTGGAGCTGTAGTAGTGGGCAGCCATATTGTAGGAATAAGTAGGTGTCATTGTTTGTCTGCGAGATAACAACTGAGGAAGATTAAACTGTCTGACAGGACCATCTGCACCTTGTGCAACAAATTAGTTCACAGATGATATTACATATTGAAAGACGATAACACCTCTATTTCTACACTGTTACACAATTTTAAGGTGTTTCATCTTGTCAATCAACTGAGTCAAATATTCCAACACCAAGAGAATCCAGACATAAAATGCATCATAAATTGAACTAAATGAAAGTCTTATTTTTACTGTATTTGCTGTGATCAAAGGATGGAACATGACAGTGGGAATGGCTCAAAATTTGAAGGAGAAGTACCACGTCAGTAATAAGTTGATGAATAAAAAGAGTTAACAGACTAGAAAAAGTGATTTTAAGATAAGGTAAGAGGGGTGAAATGTACGACTACACATGCAAAAACAAACTCATACCTCATGTACCATATACTCTATATAAATTGCTAATAATGCAGTTTAGAAATGGGGCCAAATGTCATTGTCATGTTACAAATGTCTTAAATGATTTTACATTATTGTATAGTTTTAAAATGGGGTGGAGCTGATTCTGCATGCACAGTCTGAGTCCTCTCAGCTTGTCCAATACAAAATGAAGGGAAGATATTCTCACCATTACCAGTCATTGTGAAGGTCCCATTTTTTATTCATATTTTGACTATCAAAAAAAAATTGCAGAAAGAAATGACATTGACATATCTCTGGGATAATGAAACCAACATAACGTAATGTTAACCAATCAGGAGTGATGCATCCTCACCCAACACTGTCACTGACTCTGCAGCTCTATCAATAAAACAATATGCATTAAATATGCATTAAATAAATGCAAATAAATAGGCAGCTCAGACATGAAATAAAGAATGATCTGGAACACAGAATTTTTTTTCAGGTATTTAATAAAAGTCATTTGGGCTACTGCTCTTACATTTACAGTTGAGACATTCCTCAATTATTCTGGGTAACAGTAACATGTCTAGACCGTTTTGTTTATCTTGATGTTTACTTTGTACAAAACAAAAAGGCCAACATTATTTTTCTTTGTATAAAAAATATAAGTTAATTTAAATTTAACTCTAATTAAGAAAATAACAATAGTAATAAGAGCAATAATAATAATCATCAATAATAATAATAATGATAAAGATCATAAGCTAAACATAGTGCAGACAATGGGATATAACTGGTGCTGAAAAGTAGAAGGGACAGTGCAGTGTTATGGACTTAACCATGTTCTCATGTGGGGTTGGAGTGGGGAAAGAGACAGTCAAAGGCTTTCTCTCTCTCTCTTTCTCACACACACGCACACACTCACACAGACATGCACAACACACTCTATCACGCTCACACACACACACACATACATACAGTCTACACACCCGGTCAGAAAGCGCATGACTGCCGTTCAGTTTAGCACCATCAGAGCGACCGTCTCAGTCTGTACAAACTAGTTCCTAGATTGTACTCAGTATACACCTATTACCGTATACGCAAAACTATATATAAACTTCAGTTCAGGTGCATGCTAATTGTTGCTCTTGGTTGAAGCTTACTGGAAGCAATTCTGAAAAGAGTAAGACAGAGGACATCATGGAAACTGATGGCGCACTATAACCCACATGCCACCACTGAGGATCTGCAATCAACGAAACATTCATCAAAATGTACATTCACACCATTGGGGTGGGGGGTGGGGAGCAGGTGGGTGGGTCGTGGGGGTGGGCGATGGGGTGGGGGGGCACAGTACCAGTCGAAAACAATTGATTAGAGCGGCAATTTCAGTCTTGGAGGGACAATGTCCACTGGAATGACAGTTTCAGACAAAATAATTTGTCTTTTGGAAGATCTTGGGAACTCATTTGTCATCAGTCCAAATGCACCCCCCTTCGTACGACGCTGGAGGCTGAGCGTGAGAGAAGATGATTTATTTCCTTCGGGCAGGTCGTGGACATGAGGGGAACTTCTGTCACACAACCAGCAAAAAAAGTCAACCAACATTCTTTGAGTTGCAGTCCCAGACATAGACATATGATGCACTTTAGCTTAACAGGTTTGACAGTATGGGAAAATACGAAGCTGACAGGTGCTGAGACGTCTGTTGAGCTGCTGTGCCCTGCATCAACAGCAACATGACAAAGTGTTCAGTGTCACTGATGTTTCATACTACGGCTTTGACCCTGCAAGGACACCCGTTTATGTCAAAAAGAGAAAACATCTGAGACTGAGCAGGCTACTACTTATTCCGCCCTTCACTCTTAATTTAATTTACATCTTTAAAATTCATCACACCTTCACTATGTGTCATAGATCAGGGTGCTGTCTTGACATTACACATGGTAGTCAACCTGTAAAAAGTTTGTTGTGTCTCTGCAAAGAAACTCATTTTGTTATAATCCACTTAACCACCTTGTGCAGTATCCTCATTTTAACTGTGTAGAAGCGATTACTGATTAATAGGAGGAACCAGACTGTAGTGTAAAATAATTCATGATGTGATAGTGGTGTGAGAAATGTTATGAGAGTGGAAATTCGATCGTATGCAGTCTTTGCTTACTATAAACGATTTAAAGGGATGCTATTTGTGCATCTCACTTTTCTTTTTTTCTTTTTTTTCTTTTTTTTGTCTCGTGAACTCCGTCCTACAAACATTATGACTGCTGGCCTGGGGTCAGATCCTGTTGATCAGAGGAAAAGTTGATGTACTATGCAGCAGGTTCCTAAATGCCAGGGGGAGCCGGGGGGCAGTGCTGTGGGGGGTCCACTTCAGGGAGAAACATTGTGACTCTCTTGTGACTTGTGTTCACAAGTGTCAACATTATCTAACTCCTCTCATCGCAGTTCATCCACGTTTAGTAGAATATGCTGTGTGTGTGGGGGGGGGGAGGATTTCTGCAATTTCCACATAGAATAGGCTGTATCTCTTTATTCAAGTACTGCAAAGGATTTTTGCTCAAAAAGTAATAAAAAAACATTCTGACACCCACCTTCTCAATAAGGTGGCATTACACCATACATCTGCTCTACACATTCCTTCTGTCTCTGGGAACACCTTGCTGAAGTAGTGCGCGTACGATAAACCTACCACAGAAGGCAAACAGTACCATTTTCAAAAAAGCCTGAACCGACAACAAGATTTCACATAACCTAGCCTGTGAAAGGTTCAGAGTAAGGCCTCTGCAAATACAAGACCATAAAAAGAAAAAAAAAAAAAAAAAACATAAAACAGCCAAACTAAAACAACCAAAACGGCACAAGTCCAATCTACCAAATGAATTCCCAAGCTGAGTGGACGCAGGGTGATGGGTTGAAGTCCCTCAGCCCCATCAGCTGTCTGTCAGTCTCTGGGATCGGTGAAACCGCCAGTGTTGACACCTCCGTCACCCAATGAGGTAACTGTGTGTTTTCAAAGTCAAGTCGCCTTTAGCTGATCTGTCTCCTGCTAACACAGGATGTGGGCTCTTCCTCCTACAAAGTTCCAGGTCCGTGGCAGGATTCAGGTTGTACTCCTTTGGTGGGCCAGCAACCCCTTTGGTAGTCAGTTGTCCACCTTGACAGGGCCTGAATCGCAAGGTCGACTGGGCACTACGTCCTCCACCTCTCCCCGTGCTATCTTCTCCCACTGGCCCAGGTTCTCCCTGCAAACACAAATCACCACAGATCAGATTCAGTTGAAGACTTTCTTATTTCTTACTGCAAAGATGTGGCTTGTAATATGAAATAAGAGGATAAACTCATGTAAATGACAAGACATTGTAAATGTAATCAATAATAGAACAAGTATTTCAGTTGATTCAAACTGGAACAAACTGTAAATGAAATTGTTTGTTTTTTCTAAAAAAAAAATGAAGCTAATTATGAACTTTTGATTTGATAAAACTATTATCAGATGTATATCTGTCATTTATCCACTGCAGTCAGTTTTGAATGAAAATGAAATGCACTACTGGCACTATTTGATGGGGGTTGCTAGTTGACACACAACATTATAACACTTTGCTGCCACAAGGGTGTGCATCTGATTCTTACTATGGTATGGACATAATGTTGTCAGAGACAGACACAACTTTGGAAAGAAGAAATTGGAGAAGCTGAAATCATGTAACTCTAGCAACGATGTTAAGCCAGAAATATAAGAATATCAAGCTCTGATCAGATTAAAAGCTGCATTAAGCCTAACCTAACTGTATAAACAATTACATGTAATTATTTTACACTTTATTCAAGACAAAAATTATTCTCAAATGAACACATGTATCCACAGCCTGGGAGCAACTGTGTAATTCATTGGTCACCTGCCATAGCAGTCCCATCAGTTCTTATTGTCATGAAGGTAACCTCTGCCCCCTGCGCTATAATCAAACCTGACATACGAGCGCAAAAAGTGCTGCCCTTTGCTGCCACTCCATTCAATTAGCCAGCCTGATGCAGTTTACACGTCTGTGGCAGATCCCACAACAAGCAGCTGGGCTCCGCAGGGTCTAGGCCTGCTGCCCACCGAAGGCCCCGGTGCTGACGTACTGCCGGGGCTTAAATATTACACTGCTCACTTTGTTTGCATTCCCCGCAGATCAAGGTCACAATATTTTAAAAACCAGCAGGTTATCCCAGAAGGGCGGGCAAATGTGCAACATGATCCTGCCCAACAACCAGAAATCACACATATAAATACATTCTTACACTGTTATCGACTCACACACACACACACACACACACACACACACACACACACACACACACACACACACACACACACTCCTCATCAACCTCTAATCTCATTTGTTTGGCCAACTGCTGCTGGTCAGACACCACACATGCTGTTGTCAGTATCAGACAATATTATGTAAAGGAATTTTTGACTGTTTTGTGTTTTTGACCTATTTCCCAAAAAGTGTAAATTAAAAGACTTACAATTATTCAGTTATTTATTTATTTTTATTCCTAAACACATATACTAGATCCATTCTCAGACTCTTGTTTGGCGTTTGGTCAAACCACACAGTGAAGGATGAGACTTTGAATACTTACTTGCAGGCTTTTAGAAGAGGACCGGATGGAGGGAAGAGCTCAGATAGTGTCGTGTAACACGGAATTGCAACAGCATTGTAGAATCCCACCTTAAAAAAAGGCAAATGACAAATAAACAAACAAAGAATTAATTAGCGGTATATAGTTTGCATGAACAGTTTTCAAAACAGTCTGTTAAATTCATGTCATACATTAAGGATACATAAATTAAGAAATGCTACACATGCTCAAAAAACCTGACACAAGTATTATCTATAACCCATATGAAAGAAAACTCCCACTAAAGAATTCATTTGAGTCACGTCACGTCATTGTTATGCTGTTATTACATTATTGTACTGATACATTTTCCAGGCAGTAATAGTTTAAAATGACTGTAATTAGTATAGCAGCTAACTGATCTGATTTCCTGGCAGGTACAGTATTTAAAATGTATACGGGAAACACAGGATCAAACAGTTCTGGTGAATAGTTTAACCTGTATTATTTATTAATATGCAAAGTTAATTAAACTACATATACCCATAGCATTCTGTAGGGACTTCTTACACTGTATGTTACCACATTTTTACATTCAGTCTGTAGTGAAACTGGTCATTGAAGTATCTTTGTTTTCAAGTTATCATTTCCATTTTACGTCAGCTGCTGGTGATCCTACATTTGTGGTTTCTTCTCCTTATTTTCTTCTTATGAAAACTTTTACAAGTATCACCAGCTTCCCTCTTGTGGTTATTCCACACCATCAGAATGCAGAGATTTTAAACTCTTTGAGTGTGTGTATGTGTGTTTGTGTGTGTCTGTGTGTGTGTGTGTGTGTGTGTGTGTGTGTGTGTGTGTGTGTGTGTGTGTGTGTGTGAAGTAGCGAGTAAGTACAGTCAGAGACACATGAGTAAAAGCGCTGGTCTCACTTGGCCCTGGGGAACTTCGGCCTTCTTGTCTCTGTCCATCATAGGGATCGGCTGTATCCCAATCTTCTTCATCTCATCTCCCTGTGGAGGAACGAAATAAGGAAAGAATTTTCCTTTTATTCTCGCATACTGCTCTTGACCATTAGATAACACTACTTTGCGCCTTATAAAGTGTAGGAGAGTTAGGTGTAGCAGCATTTACAAGGAATAACAGAGGTCTGGCTGTTTCACCCGAGGCATGATCATGACACTAAAACTGTTCAAACTCCAACAGTATCCCACTGTACCTCAGCCCAGAACTCAGCATAGATGTCGTTGGCTGTGAGTCGTGTGATTTGCCATTGCTTAGTAACAGAGCACAGGTCACATGCTGTCATCATCAGACCAATCACACGGTCCCTGGAGGGGAGCAAAGCCTTATTATAGCCATGTGGAGAAACTCAATGTGCTGTTTATGTGCACCAGGTCAACATTTCTCTGTGAAGCCCGGTATGATCCTGTGCACAAGTGCGAGTCGCCACCGCTCACCTGTGTGAGTGGTTGTTAAAGTCCAGCCCGCCGCAGGTCAGCAGCTCCGACAGCTGCTGGTGGTTGTTGAAGTACAGGGCGAGGTCTGTGGCGATGATCGCCTTCCGGATGATCTCCAGCACCTGCTCGTACTCGATGGAATTCAGGTTGGAGAAAATATTGTGCCCTTCCAGCTATGAGAAACAAAGAGATCAATAAAAAAGCAAAAGCTCCACTTATGAGGCGTTCAGCTCAGCTACACTACAACAGGTTGTAATCTCAGATTCATCTCAGGTTCACGCCATCCCAACAGCTCCCAGACATCACAGAAGAGGGCAATGGGTCTGTAACTGGGTGTGTGCGTGTGTGTCTGTGTGTTTGTGCATGTAAGAAGAAGTATTTCTACCTTCAGACGATGCATGTGTGCGAATTAAAAGAAAGTAAAAATGTACTTAGAAATGTGATCTGCATCATTTCTGACATCCTCCCCTTGCTAATTCCTGTGACTATTTTGCATGTGGTGTTCCCATTCTTTTGCCCAGCATCTGTGAGTCTTTGACCGAGATAATAAAACAATAAAAAACACGCAATATTAAGCACATCCTTTTATACTACATATTAGCATTTAAAGACAATAAAATAAATAAAAAATGTAGACTTTAATTACACGGTAAGTTCTGCATAGTGGAGCTCTACCTGTAGGATGGAGACAGTCTGAGAGAAGTGGTGCTGCTCCATGGTGGAGGTGGAGTACAGAGCAGCCAGCGGATGGTCAAACTTCTGCAGGTAGGCGTTGCTGTACCCCCGATGGTCCAGATCATGGCACAGACAGGCTATCAACAGACCTTTCTTCTGTAAATCACAGAGGGTAGATAAAAAAAGCAAAAAAAAAAAACAAACAAACAAAAAAAAACGATTATTTGAAATCACACTGATGATAATCTTGTTTCCAATTTCACTTATTTTTGTCAAGCAGTGGTAAAAAGCCAGAACCAACAAGTAGCAAACCTCTAGCTCTGTGAAGATCCCAGATGTTTTCTGTAGGATGGCGTACATACAGTGTGCCACCGTCACTGCATGCTTCCAGTTGTGGTAGGGCACACGTCGGTAGTTCTTCCGTACAGACATGGTGAACCGGCAGAGCTTCTCCAGCTCAAAGCTGAGGAAGACACAAACCGATGAATAATTGCCTCGATGAGGAACTGACAGTGACATCGTCACGGCCCTGTGACATTTTACCTGGTCTTTCCACAGGAGTTATGAACCATGTAGATAAAGACAGCGGGCCAGATCTCCTCAAAGGGACTGATGTCAAAGTGGAACCTGGAGGAAGAGGTGGGAGGAGAGTCTTAAATTAGCATGAACAGCCCACCTGGGAGACGAAGAGGAGAGACAGATGAGGGGACATCTGAGGTCTGTGTGCGTTGAACTGACAGGCTTACATCTAGAAGGCACGCCCCTTCCTGCGCTGTGTATGCACCCACCCCTCCTCCCCTATCCAGGTCTGGACTCTTTCACAGACATGTGGCTGTAGGCCAGCCACACTCAGGGTCACGGGTTTCACGTATCAGAAGAGATAGTGACCAAAACCTGCTCTGAATCTGAACCTGAGAGGGCACTCACATTTCGATCTCTTTATAAATGGGTGTGGGGAGGTTGAGCTGGGTCAGGGTCTTCCATTCCTCTGATGTGCAGATGCTGTGATAAGACAGTTTTTCCATCGTCACTCTGTAAATGCATTCAGAGTGCCGGATCCTGTGGTACATCTATGGGAATCACAGAACAGGGATTAGTCTATAAAATGTCAGGAGAGAAGCTGAACACTCCAGTGGAATAAATACCATGAAAATGAAAATATCTTATATCATTGTTGAATTCTTTAAGTATCGCTGTTGGAATTTCCAAAAGGGTCAAATAGAGTTAAGTTATCCGCAACAGTCCTGTATCATATTTTATCTGTGTGTCTCCAAAAAGTGTCTCCACATCTGGTTTGTATCCCTGTCCCCCTTCCCAGACAGGCAGGAATAAGACAGTCAGGTACAGGCGCCAGGCCTTACACCTTCCACCATAAATCACCATAAATCAGGAGCTGGCCAGAGTCAGTTTCCTAGAGACGTGAGGCATAAATTACAGCTAAACATAAATCCTGTCAGTGGACGGATGCAGACTGCTTGTCTTAAAATATTAACGCGCCTCATCAATTTTAAAACCAACTTTGTGACGCCGCTCCTGCGTAAGTTTGTCGCACGAGATGATGGTGAGTCAGGCCCCACAGAGAGGAGAGGCTTTTGACAGACAGACCACACAAGGCAAGCTTCGAGAGTAAGCATGATTCATGAAATGTCTGTGTGTTCCATGTAAGGGATAATCATCACTGTCAACCATCAAATAAGATGCTTTTGTTCAGATTTTGGGGCAATGCACACTTTAAATAGAAGCTGTTGGCACTACTTTTGTCTGCCTTGGAGAAAAATGACATTACTACTCTGAGAAATAGGGGAACAGTGGAAACAAGCCTCACAGCAATGAGAATGAATTTAGGATGGTGACGAGGACACTACGTCAAAGGTGCAGCTGACTGAAAATAAGCCAGAATGGAGTATTCATTGCCATACAACCGTCACATAATCTGCATACACTGAATAAAGAGCGGGGCTGCGCATACAGACACTAAGAGAATAGATCATATTTTTGCTGTTGGAGACGATCGGTTAGTCGTTTAAATATTTTGGAAGACTATATCAGTGTACTTACATTTGCACAGTGTAAGGCCAGAGCACAAAAGACAGCAAACATCTTAAAGTTGTTCTCATCTGTTTTAGTGAAGGCACTTCCGCTTAGCTTGTTCACCATCTGCACCACACCTATAACGGTCCCCCTGCTCACGATGGGCATGCACAGGATGTTCCGCGTGGTGTAGCCGGTTTTCAGGTCCACCTCACTGTTAAGGAAGACGTGTAAAAATGAGACATTATCTCCACATTTATCATCATGCAGGTTATATTCACGTGAATCATACAGAAGAAGTGTTGTACACTGACGGCATAAAAGTATTGTTTAAGACGACTTCAGGAAGGTTCATTGAATTGTGGATAATCATATATAATGGAAAAGATAAGTAAAAATGGCTTATCGCAGAGTCTGTTGGAGTTTACCGGTTGAACCGTGGGTCTGCATAGGCATCTGGGATATTTAAGACCTCCCCTGTCCGAGCCACTTGGCCAGCTATTCCCTTGTCTATAGAAAACCTACAGGGAAAGGGGAGAAGAGAGGAGAGCACTTTAACTTGTGGACTGCCCATTAAGGCTTCTCAGTCTGTCTGTGCTGGGTGGATGGATGATAATCTGCTTTGAAAAAATCTATAATAAATCAATCATATGAAAATCCATGTGAAAATCTGATTTTAAAAATGCAACAGTGTGTAGATTTAACCAGTTAACATGATTATGTTCCACTGAAACTCAGAGTAAAATGGTGGAAAATCAGCAGGTCATTTGAATTTTTCCTGTTTTTTTCCTTTTGACTTCCTTTTATAGGAACATTTTTCTGAACTGTCTTTGTCACAACAAAAAGAGCGTGTTTAATGTACACTATGGTCAATAATCTATTCTAGATGCAGGAAACACACATAAAATTTGAAAACATGTTTCTTCTCCTTTAGAATTAACTTGTATTTTTCAATGAGATGACTTGTTTATCAAAGAACACAGACACAAAATTAAATGAGCTTAGTATTTAACATTCTGTAGGAGAAAGGGGTAAATCTTACACACCTAATTTCTTTGGTTTTCCTAAAGACAGGTTTGCCTTCTTTCTCCTCCCCGATATCAAACAGGTCAGAGTACAGTTCTTTGTTGTTGTGATCTACCTGGAAGAGTGCGCACCTGTCCGCATTCACCAGGTTTTTTGCATATATCTGCAAAACAGCACCAGGGACACAGGCTTATTAGCAACATTAAGGATTTGAGAGGACTGAAAAAAAAAACAAAAAACAAAAAAACATGAAAAATTACTTCTAGTTACTTTTGCAACTTAATTAAATCAGATACATGGCTGCAGTTTGAATTGTTTCTTTTGGATGGAACAGTTCAATGCAGATAATCTAAAACACACACATCTAAAACTACAGGTCATTCCAGTTCATTTCAGTGTTTGAAACAGATGACTTGAATGACCTGAGATGACACCACAGTCACAAGGCAACAAAATACGTACAAACACAGAGGTGGGTTTTAGTAAAAGAAACACACATCCAGATCACATCTGTTTTACATTTGCAAAGTAGCTGAAAAACCTGCTTATTTCAGACTGAGCCAAACATGTATTTACTATGTATGAATAATTACAAAACAGTAGTATTAGTATTACTACTATATATTATTAATGGCAACAAACATGTGTTGTAAGGAAAGATTAGCAGCGCCCCACAGGCATCGAGATGACCAGTGTGTATTTGCATTACAGCAGGATTACTACTCTGTTTTACACACATAACCTAACACACACTCCCAGGATGTGTAGCCTTGAAGACAATGTGAATGAACACATACTTGCAGGAATCACACTCACCATAATATGTTCAAGTAGAGAATCTATTGCCACAATGTTATCAAAGTATGTTCTGTGCGAAAAGAAGAAATGACGCATTGAGATGTTTGACAAATGGGAAGCTCTGATGACGTTCACATTCAAGACATGAAAGCTAAGTTGCCTAAAATGCAGTAATTCTTTTCTATTTTGTGAGCAAAAATTTTTTTTTAAAAAGTTGTATTTAACCTTGGAGCTGACAAGATAAAAGATTAAATACTAACTCACTTTTTGTTATACTTAAGACTAAAATAAGAACATGGTGTAAATACACTTTCCAAAGGTTTTCATCAGCATTGATTTAGTGTTAGCTAAACCGTTCCACCATCAGCTCTTACTTTGACACATCTAGTAGGAAGTCATTGAGCTCAGTCTGTTTGGCGAGGCCTCTGCACACCTAGAAACAAAGAAAAATAGGTCATGACCCGGCGCACAGATGATTCAAATATTTCCCACAGAGCACATACAGCATCCTGCATGTACTGTAAACAAACTGACTTGCTGTCTACACACTTGGCTGTGGGCCACCTTCATGAGTTTCACTAACAACAGTGTGTTTTTGCAGCGAGCAGCTAACAGTGCTGCAGTGGGACGCAGCTTCTCTGAGGTGTTATGCTATCTGTTCATATAAAAACACCACTGGGGCGTAATGACGTCCTCGGGGAGCTGTTTGTTGAATCTATGGCTTAGTTGATTGGACTGGGCCGAGTGAAAACCCAGTTCCTGTACACAGTGGATTTCCCCATTAAAAACACCAGTGTAGAACCAGAACAAACAAAGTCACCCAAGATCATAATAAGTGGGACGGACGGGCTTCACCTTGTTCCCAGACCAGTCTTTAGTGAAGTGTTACAGTGCAGTGTACCTGCTACAATGTGCAATTATAAATTCAGACTAGTCCTCGGTGGGAGTTTGCTCACCTGTACTTGATGAATGGCAACTGACGCCCAGGCTAAATTAGCTGTTGCAACCTGGAAAAGAGAGAGAAGTTTAGTTCCAAAGACCTACAGAAAAAAAAAATATTTCACAATTATCACAAGTTATCACACATTTTCCGGGATTAGTCTGCTCTTATCACATTTCCTCTTTTGTATAACTCAACATAATCATCTGTTCTGCACAGCCTACAGATTCAGAGTCACGATGGGGACACGACTCACACCTGTATCATGGGTCAAAATTGAAGCAATGCCAAATTAAAGCTGCACTACGAGATATTTTTAATATGAAAAATGGGTAAAATGTGTAACATGAGCCAACCCAGCCTCCTCAGCTCTACAAAGCATTTTAGCGTCTTTTAGCTTTCTGTTTTGGTTTAACCGCCTGTAACTTCAATGTTTTGTTTCACGCTCTCTCACACCTCTTTCCCTGCAGCTGTGTGTGTGTGTGAGAAAGCTTTGATAAACACGCTGTATACTTCTTACGCAGCAACAAATACAGACAAAGTTAGCAACAAGTTGGTGAGTGCAGTGGAACATCTACAGAGCCACCTATTTCCATCTGGAGTGAGTGTAGACCGACCCAGAACTAAGAGTAGACTGAATATTGGACTGTAAGACCTGTCAGGTTGTCAGAAACACCAAAAAAAAAAAAAAACTATCCTCAAGTCAGTTTTACCTGCAGTATTCTGCTGAATCTTCAAACCTTATGCACTTGTTTGAGCAACCTGTAGGTTAAGTCATTTTCTAGCTCATTGCAATGCATTTTACTATATGTATTTCATTAGCTATTCATTAGCAGCTAGTAGAAAGTCCTTGGAGACAAAAACATTATTAAGTATTTTCCAGATGAGCCCCACAAAACTAATACAGATCTTAAACAGATCCAGATTAAGGTGAATACCAGGCTAACTGTCGTTCTGTGAGCCTTGCTCCAGCCTCCCACTCTTGGTGTGTTTTGTCTGGGTCAGACTGACCTCCTGGTGGCTGAGGTTGAAGGGCTCCTTGCCCCAGTGCCGATGCAGCTCCAGGATGGCAATGAGGTCCCCGATGGCAGTGAGGATGGGGAGGCACAGGACAGAGTGAACATGGATCCCTGAGTCCTGCCCTGTGCCGTCGGGGAAGCGCTCGTCCTGCAACACAGAGGTCAGTGAAGATCATTATCATCTGAACTGCACAGAGGAGGTGAGTGTCGCTGGTACATCAATGGATATAGATGACAAAGAAGACAAATCCTAACATGTGCCCCTCAGCAGAGAAAACATTTCTGTTACTCTCTTTGAAGCTGCATTTACACCAACTGTAGCGGGATAAATGTCAGTGTGTCACATGCAAGAATTTCACCTTAATAAAGGTTTTAAACTTTTGCGCCTCTATGTATTTTGCTTTTTTTTGCTTTTTTTGAGACACAGAACACCTTTGCTAATATTTTCTTGAATTTCAAAGCACTCCAGAGGTTTTTCCAGCTTTTTCTTGGACATCTCCTCTTGTTCAGAGTGAATGAGGACACTGTCTTCTAGTAGGAAATGTCCCCCATCATTTATTATCTGTATTGTATTACAACCGCAGCAGAGCACTGCAAAAGACACTGAACTAAACGGGCAAGTCTTCCATAAATTAAAATTGAAATTCAAACTATATTTTTATTTATGTAGTTTCAGCTCCAGGGTGCCGAGTGCACTGAGCCCGGTGGTGAAGAAAAAGGATGATGTAATGAAACAAATAAGGAGGTCATAAAGAGATCTGTAATGGAACATCACAGCTATGCAGTGAAATGTTCCTGTGATGGCTGAATCTCAACTGGATGCAAGAAAACAAGTCTTACCCCCATGATGTCCTCTACTAGCAGTGTTTTGCGAGTCTTGGCAACATGAGCGGCAATGGTTGTCCCAAATGCAATGGGGCCTGAGGGGATGAGGCTTGGAGGGCCATCCTTGGCCCCCGTTGGAGTGAACAAACATAAACTCTATTGAGAAGCGTCGACAAGAAGAGAGATAAGGGGGGAAACAGAAACGATAAACAACTGTCAAACACTCACACTCCTGTATTATTGCATTTAATGTCTTCAGCGAATGTCCTCTGTACTTACATTGTTGCATTCTCCCAAGAAGTAAAGTGCAAATCCATCAGCTTTTGTTGCTGTAGAGATATAAGACACACAGGTCACAGGTGTGCAGTGCAAGTGCTTCAAATGCAGTTAGACAGTCCAGTAACAACTGACATTAGCTGCCAGTGTATGTCCATGTTATATCATCTCACATAGATATGTCCAACAGCAAATGGCAGGTATACCTGAGAGGGAAAGTGTGAAAAGGAGACAACAGTCCAGTTACAATCTAATAACAATCTATTAACTATGTCCCACATAACAACAAGGGCACTCTGACCGAGGGCTTTGACTGCCATCCAGTTCATCTCATTCCCAGTCCTCCGCTCCAGACCCATTTCAGACCAATATATAGGTCATGTTATCATACAATGTGACAACAGAGAGACCGGTGGAGCGTCAGTGAATACACAGATGATCAAGAAGTTAATGAGTGGTGTTGTTTTGGTGAGCTAATCCTTTTGTGGTTTGGTTAGACATTTCAGACTTTGTCCTGGAATTATTTCCATCATTGTGTCTAGTGTTTTCATAGTCCAGCAACCTAATTAATTACCAAGAAGGAGGCAGGCATTCATATCCAACATTGACAATACTGGGAATTAGGCATTAAACACCAGAATATCATGATCATTTTTTTTTTAATTCTTTATTCTTTATTTACAAGGATAGCCCCTTGAGATGTCCCATCTCATTTTCGAGGGGGTCCTAAACAAATGATTAATAAAACTAAATAAAAAAATGACTAATGGATCATTCATCTGTTTCAGTTTTCATTAGAGCAGCTCCACAGTGGAGCAATACAGTTAGTGTCAGAAAGGCACATCAGTGTCAGAAAAGTCACAAAATCTGACTTGAAACTGACAAAATTTTACTGCCAATTTCTTAAGTTACTGGCTGAGGAAAATCCTGCTCCTTCTCTTTCAAGTTGCTACAAATGTTATTTAGAATATCCCACCCCCAGAGTCATGGGGAGACGTTTACATGAACCTACGTCATGATCAAGCAGGATTTTTTTTCTGTTAGAAAATGTATGTCGTCAGTGTCACTTTTGCGTTGCGGCACCAGTGTGACGTGAAGTGAAGCTGAGAGGATCTATAATCTGGATGATTCCTATTTTTTACCTGTTTTGATGATGTTGCACAACTCATAGAGCAGGAGTTTGTTGTCTCCTCCAGTGTCCAGGCGCTGCTCCATGTAGCTGTTGAGTTCGTACACCACACCCTGCATATTTGTGTCCTGGTACTGCTGGACACAAGACACACAGAAAGTTGCAACTCCACACTCTCACATAAACACTGAGATTGAATTTCAAAATTCAGCAAGTGCTACGACCAAGGAAAAAGTGACAACCTGCACTCTGCATGCATCCAGGCTACTGTTACTGCAGCAGATAGCTAGCAACTCAGCTCATAGCAGGATTTTAATTGTTTTCTTGAATGAAAGGGGATAATCTTCCTACCATTCACAAAGATAGAGCCATTCATCACAACATTACCCTTCAGTCCACCCTTATATTTCCCGTCGCTGCTGCATTCTAGCCCAGGGATCCCCCCGCAGTCCCGAGAGGGGGCCACTGGAGCCCCACAGCTCTGATTAGAGCCCTGGCAAGCTCTGATGCTCAGCCTGAGCTTAAAAGTGTGGTTATGTAAGAGACAGACCTCCTGCCTTGTATGGGGCCAGAGAACTGTCTATTTCTGCGCCTGCAGAGAGGGTGAGGACAGGACGGCAGGGAGAGTGGCGTACTAGAAAGCCTCCCCCCCGGGACGCCTTCTATCCTCCCACATCCTGTTTGCACGGACATATGGATGACGCACTGAAGAGTCGAGTGACCCTCATTTCTTTTTCTTTTTTTCCCCTGTGTGTATGTGTGTGAAATCCCCTGTACCCAGCTCCAGGGTCCTGCTGTGGGCACTGACACCTGGCCTCCTGGGGGCAGGATGGTGTCAAGCTGACAAAAGTGTGAACATACGGATGTGGAGCGCGGGGGGATCTACACTTTTCACATAACTTTCCTGCCGACGGTTTCACACATGCAAAAAAAGATTCATATTATTTATCATTAACTATCTATTTGATGCTGACCTGAACACTCACAGAGCCTGACCAGTGTTAACATCACAAGCATCACTACTCCGTCACCAAAGACTGCACAGGTATGAATTTGTGAAGCATTTTAAGCCTTTTATATTTCTGAGAGCCAATGACACAAAGTCACAGTGGTGCTGTTCTAAAGAAAGAAAGAACAAGGACAAACAAAACCAAACGTGTAGTTAATCTGCATCTTAATTAACCACACCAGGCTATTTTTGCAGTTATTGAAGGACAGTGTCGAGTTCTGTGCTGTCCTTGAATTAGTTCAGGCGTAGTGTCCATTCCTGAGTATGAACTCAATTAGTCACAAAGGTGAGCTTTGGGGAATTAGTGGGTGGGAGTAATACACTATCTAGAATGTATTACGCTTGTCCCAAAAATATCTACACATAAAATTAAGCAAAAACCTACCCTGCTGACTTCTTTAGCTGATGTGTCATCTGTAAAGAGAAAGAAATCACAATGTTAAAAAAGAACAACAAAAAAAAAACATTAGATTCTATTTTTTATTTCTATTTTTCTGATCTGATCTTCTTCAGTGACCAAACTTTATGCTGAGCCGCTTCATTTTAGCTGGTTGGCTAGTTCTGCAGGTTACTCAGAACAAATAAAGCAATACAATAAAATGTTTTAAAGATAAAATAAATAAAAAAAAAATCCTCCTATAAATGAAAACTTTAATTCATAAACACTCAAATACATCCTTGCAATATTCAAAATTGTCAGGAATTTTGCCACTTGTTTACTTTGTCTGGTCTGACCAGCAGCAGTAAATGACATTACTGAGTCAGTTTGCACAGGTGAGGACTTCCAGCTGTTACTCTATGGTTTGGCATTTACAATTATTAATGGCAAAAGTTATGTACTGCAGTCTGTCTTTAATTAATAGTCAGTATATAGGATTTGATAAAAAGCTTTGTTTGTGTTCACCACCTGGTGTAGCAAGCTTTTGTGTAACTACGCAGAAGTGAAGGCAGACATGTGAAACCATCTTCGTCTGCATTAAAAAGCTGAAAACCATCACAGGTGAGCGGCACTGAAACCTGGCCTGGCTGTTTGAAGGTTGGGTGGATACAATGGACCTGTGCACCAGTGGATTATGAAGACACAGCCCTAAAAGCGGCAAGTAAGGCATGTTTGCCCTCACAACGGTAGACAGGTAAATGGTAAATGAGTCAATGCAAAAAATATGCAGTGTTTTACGCATTAATACACATTATGCATAAATTATGGGTGAATATATCATCTGCTTTTGATGCAGTGAGACATTTGCTTAAATTATGTTCCTTTTAAAACAGAATTAAGAGAGGTATTAATTTAACTTGACAAGTGCAAAATTTTGTGGCCCCGAGTGCAAATTCTTGGTGTGATTTCAGGCTGTTGGAGAGACAGTAGACATATGACTATTGCCTTTGGATGTCGACACTGAAGTATGTGATAACAATGAAAGCTTCAGCCAATCAAAACAGTTTCTGGACTTATAGTCTGGGAGTGGGTCTGGGAGTGCTACTTGGGATGAAAATGAAACCATTCACACAGCTCAAGCGGTTCTTCATTACACACGAGTCACCAGCACACGAGAACAGTGACTGCTCAGATCTCTTTGATAACTTTTCATGTGATCAAACCATGCAAAAAGCTGGGCAGATTTTAGAAACAGCTACTGAAGTGCTGACTTGAGCTGGCGCTCCTTTGAGACAAACCTCTTTGTACATGTGAAGATAGAAATTACAGCCAGCAACATTGTTTGTTGTTTTAAACATTCCTCCAGTATGCTATGAGTTTCCTAACTTAGCCATGAGAGCTATTTTAGAGTGAACCCCTGGCCGGGAATGACGTCAATCAGAGGACAGAAAGTTTGAAACTTGAAAAACACTTGAAAAAGACTTCAAACCTGTTTGAAAAAACTTTGTTGGAGAGAATCTTCTTTTATATTGACTTGTTAAGACCCCTTTAAAGCACAAATATTACAGTATCCCCTATTAGAAAGGGGTCTGCATTTGTTAGAGCAGTTTAATACGTCCCATTTTAACACACACACAGTGACATGTCCATTGATTGAATTTTGTTAAAAGAAAGAAAGAAAGAAAGAAAGAAAGAAAGAAAGAAAGAAAGAAAGAAAGAAAGAAAGAAAGAACCTAATCATGCCATAAATTCTACCCATTTATTATGGATGGAGAGATGGGATGAGGAGCCAGCTCCAGCTGAAAACTGGTTTGTCTCTCATCTTATCGTTTCCTTTTATTGATGCTTTCATGTTTTTCTGACAAATCGATGACGTCAAATAAACTCAAGCATTTACGCTGCTGGAAACTTGCAACAAGGAGGAGTCATGGCGAAGAGGAAGGAATGGTGAAATGGTCATTTCAAAGGTGGAAACAGCAGCAATATGCTGAAACATTTCTTAAACATGGGCTTAAACATCCGTCACCGAGGGTAAATATCCTGTGTTATAATAACATAAGGGCTGCATAGGTGCTTAGGTTATTAATTAATTATTTAATTAATAAGTTAATGCTACTTCTCCACCCAGAAAATTGATCAGGAGTCATTAGGGAATCAATAATGAATCAACCTCAATAATCAATAATGACATTAGTATCAATAAAATCTTATTAATTCCAATCCCTACCATTTATAGGGAATGTGAACGAAAGGCAAATTACAGTTGTTGTTGATGCACATGGTTTAATGTTGTGAATGACGTGTGAGCTCAGAGCAGGATGCTGGAGATAGAGGGCTGTGTAAATAAACCTGATTTAACTATAGGATGAAGACAAAACTGTACAAAAATGCACCAGGAAATGTAATACTCATTCCATATTGGGATTGTTACTCCAGATTATTTCATTTATAGTGTGTGTTGAGTGCCTCGGTGTCTGTGGTGTATGACAGCAAAAGCAATGTGTGCAGATGTCTGGGTATCTGCCAGCTCTGACTGGCACACTCGGCTCTCAGGCCCCCACCCCCCCCACCCACTTGGCTGTCGCAGGGAAAGGCAGCGTTACCCCAGCAGGAGGAAGGAGGGAAGGAGGGAAGGAGGGGGGGGGGGGGGGGGGTTAAGGTAAGGTCTGAACAGGTCAAACAAATGGCAGAGCAAAAATATAACATGCTATTACTATAGAGACGTTTTTTAAAATAACAGAGGGTGGAGGATTTACTGCCTTGTCTGTTGAGGTCGGCTGCCATAGTGTGGTTGTTGGTTCTCAACAACACATCACTGCCACTTAACATTATTGTAAGGTGTTGCAGTGCTAATGGTTCCAGCAACACTGATATGTAAGAGCAGGCCTGGGCAACAAATCATATCAGTGAATAAGTATGCGATGATAGGATCACACAATGTTATCTTGTTATTAAAATTCTTTTGTGTAAAGGAATGAGTCTCAAACCAAATCAAGATGTTGTTTTACACACAAAAAGAGTCTGATGTAATGTATAGCGAAAAATCAAAAACCAAAAATCATATAGTGCACAAATGTTATTATTAATATTTCAAACTATATCACTCAGCACTTCTTTAGAGCCTTCCTATTCCCAGAGGTTTTCCCTCTGCAAGGGCTTGTGGGCCCCACCAGTACTCAAAGTCCCTCCTGGAGGAAACGGTCACCAGGCAGTGTTTGTAGCGTTGCAGGTCCAATTACAGCCTTGCAAACCATCTCTGCCGGCATCTCGAGTGCAGCAGTCCCAGTGGAACCACAGGGTGAGCACTGAGCATTGTGTCCACACACTGGAAATGTCTAAGAGGCCAAAAAGTAACATAAAGCTGTTGTACTTGCAGGCTGTACCCTGTAAGGAAAACGTCTAAATGCAGAGATACAAAAGCAAGTGCCGTTTAAATCTGCTGTGCTCAACCAGGCGTCCGGTTGGACCAGCTCCAGTAATTTATTTAAAGTAGACATGCACACATTCAGCAGGTGGAGGTCCAGCATGACTCTCATATTCCTGGTTTTCCTTGAAACCAGAAAGAAAAAACAAGAAAAGAAAACGTGCTGATGTTGTTTGGTCCGGCTCTTGCTGAAGAAAGTACGTAAGCAAGTGTGAGTACTGCTCCCTTTTGAAGGACCAGCACCTTAAACATGCAAGGGGCTTGAGAATATATAAAACTGACACTTTGCTTGTCCCATTTTGCAACAATAACATCTTTGTTTCATCAGGTATGTGTCAGGGGATTAACCCTAACGATACACCTACCCCTGAGGCTGAGAGGGAAGGAATGTGTACAGTTGTGTGTGTGTGTGTGTGTGTGTGTGTGTGTGTGTGTATGCGTGCATGTCTGTGTATTTTATCACCACACCATGTGGTCAGCCACCAGCACGGGGACAGAGACCAGTAAGCCTGTTCTAATGCCATCCCATATTTTCAGGGAGCTGCTGTGCTTTCAGTAAACACAAGGAGGAGAGGGCCGACATGTTCTTAGAAAATGCACTGCCAGCTCACTACACACCGAACGCTAAACACAACTGTCGAGCAACTCTTACACCCGGCAGAGGCTGAGCAGACCTCTCTGAGTAACCTCATCACGCCATTCATACTTTTCCGGAACCTGAGCAACCTCAGTCAAACGCTTCGAGCTGGCGGCTATCAGTTATGTATACACGCGTTTCTGCCTTTAAACAAGTGCTCAGTGAGCAAGGCTCGTCTGAAGATTATGCCTATAAGGTCAACAAGTACAATACTGCACATCCCGGTTCTGTTTATTGTCTACAATCCTAGATAAAATGTTAATAATAACTACTTTCACATTACATGTTTTTATGGACTGAGTGGGCTGCATGGTTATTGTAGATAATAATTCATCACAATTTAATGTTTTTATGTATACTGTTAGGATATATATATTTTTTAAATGTTTGCTACAAATCCTGCTGTGGTACATTGGTTGTTCTCATTGCTCAAGAAGAAGAAGAATTTGAATGTGAATCTTGCACCAGTGTAACAGCTCAGACAGAGGAGCAGGCAGCTGAAGCTGGAAAGAGAAAAACCCTCTCACAGACCATTTTTGGAAAAACAGAACAAACAGCAAAGTTAAAATAAATGGATCAGGATGACGTCAAACAGGAGAGAAACCCTGTGCAGAGTCTGGATCTAAAATTTTATTCCACTTCCATCACCACAATAACAACAAGGTGGCAAAAAAGCTTTTTCACACCACACAAGAATATCTGTGTGAATTATTGCATATATTGATTTCATGGCGTGTTTCATGTAAGTGCCAGACATTTGTGCCACAGATAAAAAAAGGACCCACCATTAGTTTTCTGCTTTGATTCAACCAATAAAATCATCAGATTTTTATCAGACTGGGCAACAAGGAGTCCATCAGACACAGTCTAAACACTACATCCATGATAAAGTGTAAAAAAAAAAAAAAAAAACTCTTCAAAATGAATTCAGCTGCAGATTCAAACTGAGACAAAGAATTTTTTTTGGCTGATGA